AAATTTGATGCTATTTTCGACGATTTTTGCTTTCATTCAATGAAATTAAAAAAAAAAAATTGAATATCATGGCGTTTGAATTTTTGGCAGATTTTTTATCTCACCGTGTATTCTTGATCCGGGTAAAATTCTCTGTCGATTTAGCGATGCCCGTCTGCCTGTCTTTTGTTATCACGTTATTTTTCAAGCAAATTTGTGTATTTTGTCAGTAGGCAGGTTAAGTTCGTAAATGGGCCATGTAGCCCCACATAAAGGTACCTATGCAGGTTCAAGTCTTCGTACAGCCTCCATATAACGGTACCTGCCTTTTTTTTGGTATTTTGATGATTTTAGCGAAATTATTAACCGGAATTGTTTTAAATTTCTCGTACACGGTACATCCCGATATTCGGTATTTTGATGATTTTAGGGATATTATTCTCCGGAATTGTTTCAAATTTCGCATTTTAAGATTTTAAGTGGTTCTACAACCTATGCAGGTCCACGTCTTCGTATAGTCTCCATATAACAGTTTTCATTTAAGTGGTAGTTTCCGGAAGTTTTTTGAAAATGTTCAAGTTCCTTCCAAATGGTGAAGGGCATTAAAAGTTCGGCCCGGACGAACTTAGCTGCTTTGTTACTTCTTACTTGTTTGATTTGGAATTTGGTACAAGTGTATGTTTTGGGTCTAGGATGATTGGAAAAAATGAGATATATCGGTCCAAGTTTTCGTTTAGCCCCCATATAACGGAAACTTCCGATATTCGGTATTTTAAAGATTTTAGGCACATTTTCCAACGGAAGTGTTCCAAATCTAATAGCAAGATTTTTTAACGGATTTTGCCGTTTTAAATGGAAGACTTTAAGAAAGTGTTTTATGGACAGAACTTCCAAAGGATTTCTTCAGAAAGAATTCCTTTCACAAATCTTCCATAGATAAAAGACCATTAAATAATATATCCGTAGGGGGTCTTTATAGAAGATTTCGCTTCTTTAAATTGCCACCAAAAAATTGCGCGACACGTGTCCCGCCACGCAAAACTTAAAAGTCTTCAATTACGATTAGATAGATACATTAATCTATTTAATTATAAAGTGTAGTCTTTGAATTAATTGTTTCCTTTATTAGCTTCCAGTTGGTATGGAATGAGAATATTTAAGCATTCCATTTGACAGTGATTTGTAGTTGCATTGCTCGCTTCACAATTTAAAGATCGGTTAGTCGATGGTGAAATTCCAAACTCGTTTTTGTTCTCCAAAGAAAAATTGTAAATGAGAAAAAGGATATTTGCCAAACTCCTGGTGTTTGTGGTATTAGTTGTTCTACAAGGACGTGTGAGCGGTGAAGTGAAATGTTAGTATTTTATTAAAAATGCTAAGACTTCGAATTTCGTTATCGATATTCAAATATATGGACGATATCGGTATTTAAATAAAAATGGACACTTATTAAAGTTTCAGTAAAGTCATGCAGAAATCCTGGAAATTTTATAAAAATAAATAGAACGATTTTGGAAAATATTCATATGATGACTATAATTTATAAAAAAAAATCCATTTTTTTTAATTTTTTGTGAGAAAATTAAAATTAATAAGCTATGAGCATTTCATATTTTTTGGTGTTAAATTCTACCAAAAAATCTATACTTGGAAATCGATTTTCATCGATTCGACTTCATTCGTATTTTTACTACCAAAAATTTATTTTTCGAAAATCGAGTTATGCATTGCTAGAGCAGAACCATGGTAGAAGAATTCTGGTAGATGCCTAAACCCTTGGGAACATTGATATATCAATATTTTTAAAATTTTTGTCAAAAATAAGTAGGTTTGTATATGTTTTCTTACACGGCGACAATCGGAGGTTGTTATAATATGCATTTTTCAAAAGATTTTACAAATTTCAATAATTTTTCATTGACAATTTTCAATTGAAATTGGTCCAAGCAGCTAAGTCGAAATGAGCGGGTTGAGCCATGCAAATTTATGAAAAACCTTGAAAGCTAAACTTTGAATTGTATGGATCGTTGTTACAAACATCAAGTAGAGTTTAAAACCAGTAAAGAAAGTCTTCAAGTCGGACGGGACCGACTTTATGATACCAATTAAAAGTTTTTATGGGAGAAATTCAATCATACACGCTATGATTATAATTTAAAGCTCAAAGCACTAAATATGCAGAAGCATTTGTATCTTTTAAATTCGAACTTGTATTGCCCATTTGGTGCACAATTAATTTGAAATCAGATAAAGATATATATGGGAGCTATATCCAAATCTGAACCGATCTTGATAAAATTTGGCAAATATATTTCTTAGCTGTATGTCATATATTTCCCCAAATATTGTTGTTACGGAGTGCATATTAGGGCTGTGGGTAACAAATATAACTAATCGGATGAACAGAATGTATGGGAGATTAAGCTATATCTGAACCGATCTTCACCAAATTAGGCATACTAACTTCTAGACTCAATTCGGTCGTAAGTGCCAAATTGCATCCCATTTGGGCAAATATTAGACGTTTGGTGCACAATAAAAAGTAAATCGGACGAACTTATATATGGGAGCTATATCCAAATCTCAACCGATCTCGATAAAATTTAGCAAATGTGTTTCTGAGCTGTATTTGATACATTTCCCCAAATATTGTTGTTACAGAATGCATATTACGGCTGCGGAGGACAAAAATAACAAATAGGATGAACAATATATATGGGAGCTATAGCTATAACTGAGCCGATTTCGATCAAATTTGGCATACTTATTTTCAGGCCTAATTTGGTTGTATGTGCAAAATTCCATACTATTCGGGTTAATATGATTTGCGCAAAATTTCATCTGGATCGGGCAATAAATGCGAACTGTACTTTGTTTACAAAAATACATGGGCAGACGGATATAGTCGACCGAAGTATTCAATTTTCGTACTTCATCTAACAGAGATAAAAACATTGGTATGTGCAAATTTGAAGGAAATCGAACATTTATATCCACTTTTATTCAAAATCATAAATTCCGATGAATTACATATCCATATCAGATTTCTGGTTAAGAGACATATTTAGATATAGCAAGTTGTAAAGAATCACCGACTTGTTTTGCAAGTTATGACAGATTGTACTGAGTATAAGTTTATAAGTATTGGAAATTGTAGCCCTTTGTGGGTGGGTTACCAGAAGGGGTTGGCAGATGTATATCATCTTCACAACAGATCTTGAGTTTGAGTTGATTATTCCGCTTTTTTGAGCGTTTTTGTTTTTTTTTTAATCTTGAACGCTATGTGGGGGAGGTACCAAAAGAAATTGTGCGATCTCTACCATGTTTATAACATATCTTGTATAGATAGAAATACTGAGATGTATCAAATCTGAATAGAATCGGGCGTTATTTTCGGATTTTATGAGCTTTATGGATACACAAAATATTGACCCTTTGTGGGGGAGGTACTTAAAGGAGTGGACAGATATATTCCATCTTCACACCAGATCTTGGGTTAATAAAAATATTGTGATGTGTGTAATTAGAATAGAAACGGATGCTCATTTCGTGTTTTAAAATCGTTTTGATCATTTAAAATTATGGCCGTTTGTAGGGGAGGTACCAGAAGGAATGGTCGTATTTTTACCATCTTAATAAGTGGACAGATATTGTCCATTTCGGCACCCGATATAAAAAGCTGATACAAATATTAGGATTTGCAAAGTTGGAGCAAAATCGGATAATCCTTTCTCTCTCTGCGCAGTGAAATATTTTTATTGAAAATGTCGACCTTTTTTTTGGGGTAGGTACCAGAAGGAGTGGACCGATACTGCCCATATCTAAACTCGATCTAAGTTTGATAATTGTATAACAGACAGACAGACTGAAACGGATTTGTTCCAAAGAGACCAAGGGTCTAAAACCCTCTACCATATGGCTAAGGGTATAACAAGTAAAAAAGCAGTAAGTTCGGCCCGGCCAAATATTGAATACCCTCCATCATTTGGAAGAAAAATTGCAAATTTTCTAAAAACAAAAAAAAACGTCGTTGAAAAATACTGCTAAAATCATAAAAATATCGAATGCAGGAAGATAACGTTATATTGGACTTACAAGAAGACGGGGACCTGTAAATACAATATTCGTCATAGGCTATTACGATATTCAAATACAAAACTTGAAACGTGAAATAATTGTTGTGAATAATGCCTCTAAAATCAGAATATAGGTAGGTAGCGATATATGGAAGCTATCCGAATACCTGGACCTACATATGTAATTTTCGGTCACAGGCTGTGGGTCCATTATGAAATTTGAAACAATTCCGGTGAATAAAGTCGCTAAAATAATAAAAATATAGGGAGGTATCGTTATATGGGCGGTGAAAAGTGGACACAAACCATCAAAATACCGAATATCGGGAGGTACGGTTATATAGAGATGCAAGGATGTTTCTTACGTAGTGGAAACATATGCTGCAAATTTACAGCAAATTTGGGTTGAAATTTGGACTAAAACAGCCACAATCTATAATTGCCAATAAAAAATGTATTATTAAATTTTATTCTTATTTTTATAGTTCAGAAGCTTGAGTGATGTCCACAGACGGACGATCATTGTTTAATCGTCTTAGAATTTTATACTGATCAAGAATATATTCCTACACTTTGTTACGTCTAAAATATATATTTCGAGGTGTTACATACGGAATGACAAACATAATATACCCTCCATACTATGGTGGAGGATATAATGAGTCTTTTCAACAAGTTCAAAAATTTATCTCTTTTTGTTTTTAATTAAACTGCGTTTATTTTCAGATTCACGTTCCGACCTACCTCCGCTCTATAATTTCGATGACTATGATGAATGTTTTCAAAATGCTACCCCCCGGAAACCTGCCACCTATTGTATGATTTATGCTGAAATTCAGGCAGATAATTCCAGTGAATTATGGCATAAAATCGCAGAACATAATTCATTTAAATATAATTATCGAAATGATCGATTATTTTTTTGGCCTATGTCTAAATCGATGTATGAAATTTGAAAATCAGATTCCACCGGAAGCACACTTTGGCATAAATAATGATGTGAGTATTATGAGAGAGAGAGAGAGAGAGAGAGAGTATTATTGAGAGCTATGAGTAAACTCCTCAATTTTCTTCCTTTTAAAGATAACACAATTTTTCGAAAGGGTACACAAATATCCCTTGGATTTGGAAATACGTTCCAATTATTCTCATGTGATTCAACAATGTTTGAATACGGAGTTCGAACGGAAATATAATTTGAATTTGAGAACATTTATAGAATATTGCGAGAGACGGCCAGAGGACAAAAGTCATAAGGAAAATGGTAATTTGTTTATTTTGATCAGTCATCGCTTTGGTGTTAACTTTGAATTTCTTTCAGACCTGGCCGAAAGAGCTTTGTATAAAAGTTTTAAGGTCATTTTACTGCTGGTCGCACTTTCAACATTTTTTGATTATTTTCTGAAGATGCAGCAGTCGGTGGAAAGTCAAACTAATGAATTTTATCAAACGAATTTAGAGAAACCAGGTAAGAGGGCAATTATCGTTCATCTTGTTCTTTTAGTTCTAATATTAAAGTTTAGGGAGGATCTTTTCAAAAAAAAAAAAAAAAACTGTTATATATCATTTGAGAATGCCAAAACGTGCCTCATCGAAATAAAAGTTTTTGCCCCTAGGTCTCTTTGAATCAAATCCGTTTCAAGACATTTGGAGTCGATCTAGCGATGTCCGTCCGTCTCTCTGGCTGGGAAATATCTGCTATGAAGATGGGAAATATCGGCCCACTCCTTCTGGTACCTCCTCTACAAGAGGTCGAAGTTGCAAATCCTAGTATTTGCATCAGTTCTAGGTCAGATGCAAAAATGGAAAATATCGGTCCACTCCATCAAGTACCTCCGGTCCACTCCATCAAGTTAAAATTTTAAACAAGTCTTATAAAATAAGTTGTACGTGTCCGATTACCTTAAAATTACACACATCACAATATTTTTATTAACCCAAGTTCTGGTGTCAAGATGAAATATATCGGTCCACTCCTTCTGGTACCTCCCCCATAAAGGGTCAACATTTTGAATATTAACGAACCTCATAAAACGCGAAAACGACATCCGATTCCTCTCAGACATGGTACAACTTAATATTTCCATCAACACAAAATTTTTTATAAAGGTGGTAGAGATCGGACCATTCCTTCTGGTAACTCCCCCACAAAGGGTCAAAGTTTTGAATAACAAAACGACCATAAAATCCGAAGTAAGCATCCGGTTCTCTTCATATTTCACACATCCCATTATTTATACTAACACAAGATCTGCTATGAAGATGGGAAATATCGGTCTACTCCTTCTGGTACCTCCCGCATAAAGGGTCAAAATTTTGAGTATCCATGAAGCTCATCGAATACGAAATTAACATCGGACTCCATTCAGACTTGTCACTTTTCAATATTTCAATCAAGACACGATGGTAGAGATCGGACCATTCTTTCTGATACCTCCCCCACAAAGGGTCAAAGTTTAGAATAACCAAAACGACCATAAAATCCGAAGTAAGCATCCGGTTCTGTTCATATTACACACATCCCATTATTACTACTAACACAAAATCTGCTCTGACTATGAAAATATCGGCCCACTCCTTCTGGTACCTCCCGCACAAAGTGTCGAAATTTGGATATCCATGAAGATCATCGAATGCGAAATTAACATCCGATTCCATTCAGACTCGGTATAGCTGAATATTTCCATCAACACAAAGTCTGTTATAAAGATGGTAGAGATCGAACAATTCCTTCTGGTAACTCCCCCACAAAGGTTCAATGTTTTGAATAACCAAAACGATTATAAAATCCGAAATAAAGATCCGGTTCTCTTCATATTTCAACGTATTCCACTATTTCAACTTACAAAAGATCTGCTATGAAGATGGGAAATATCGGTCCACTCTTTCTGGTACCTCCTCCACAAAGGATCAACATTTTGTATGTTTTCTTTAAGAAGACCTTCAAGAATCAATACCTTAAATCTAATATTTGTTATACCTTCCTACTATAATTATTTTTATTGTTCATCCACACCTTTAGTCTGGCGTTTGCTGACCTCCTTCTCACTCACCCGCAACTATTATCGCCTGATACAGCCATATCGTGGTGAAATTGGCCAACAATTTGCCTATCTGGATGGTATGCGTTCCGCCTGTACATTGTTTGTGTTGCGGGGCCATTCAATCTTCTTGGAATTTGAACATGTCCAAAATCCAAAATATTTTGAAGATTTTGGAAAAAACACAGCGGGTCTGATGGCTCTTAACGGGCCAGTTGTCATTGAGATATTTTTGGTAATGAGTGGTCTGCTGTTGCACTTGAAATTCTCACAGGCCCGTTTTGTGACGCCCCACAGCAGTTGGAAGAGATGTTTGAGTGTGTATATCTTCATTTTAATCAGTCGGTACATGAGGTAAGAGAATTTGAAATATCTGAAAATAAAATTGACATATCTTAAGTTATTATTTGCCTTGCTTTTATTTGTTTTTAGATTCCTTCCCACACTGATTGCATTGATTGGAATAAATGCCACAATAATGACAAGTTTTGGCGATGGTCCCTTTTGGCGTCACATAATCGAACCGAGTCGCACATTTGGTCGCGAAAATTGGTGGAAAAATTTATTGCTCATAAATAATTTCTCACCTCCGGACACTGTAATTTGAAAACTATATTGCTGCCTCTTTCTTTTTATAAAATTTGTGTATTTTGTGTATTATAGGCCAGTCCTCACACCTGGTATTTGGCTGCAGATTTTCAATTATTTTCCCTATACACCCTGGTAATGATTGTCATGTCCTATTCGATCAATAACCGTGGATTTTTTAAATAATATTTTCTAAGGTCTATCCGACCAACAATCGGGGATTTTTTTAAATAATATTTTTAAGGCCTGTTCGACCAATAATCGTGGATAATGTAAATAATATTTTTTTAAAGCATACCCGTCCAAGAATCGTGAATTTTTTAAAAAATATTTTTGAAGGCCTATTCGACCAATAATCGTGAATTTTTTTAAATAATATTTTTTAAGTCCTACCCTACCATAAAACGTTTATTTTTAAAATAATATCTTTAAAAGCAAATTCGACCAAATATTTTTAAAGCCAATCCATGGATTTTTCAAGCAGCATTTTTTGAAAGCAATCCATGGATTTTTTTAATTATATATTATCGCAATATTATTTTCAAACTTAGATCGAGGTCGGAGATGGGCAATATGGGTCCAGTCCTTTTGGTAACTCTCCCACAAAATGTCCAATGTTATTTTCAAAGAAAATAATTTCCTGCACAGAAAGAGAAGAGATAATCGGGTTCTGCTCGAACTTTGCAAATCCTAATATTTGTATCTGTGCTAGGTCATGTGCGAAAATTAACAATATTGATCTACTCCATCAAGTACCTCCCTCATAAAGGGTCAAAATTTTGAACAATTATAACTCTTATAAAATGTAATGTATGTGCTCAATTGTTTTCAAATTAACATATCACAACACTTTTTTTAACCAAAGATCTGGTGTGAAAATGGAATATATCGGTCCACTCCTTCTCGTACCTCCCCCACAAAGGGTGAACATTTTGAATACTCATGAAGCTTTTAAAACGCGAAAATAACATCCGATTCCGTTCAGACTTGGCAAATCTCAACTCTTCCGTCAACACAAGATCTGTTATAAAGATTGTAGAGATCGGACAATTCCTTTTGGTACCTCCCACACAAAGGGTCAAAGTTTTGAATAGCAAAAACGATCAGAAAATGCGAAATGAGCATCCGGTTCTCTTAACATTTTGCATATCCCAAAAAATCGTGAATTTTCTTACAATTTTTTTATTTCAGAGACTAAAGACGTGAATTTTTTTAAAGCTATGTTTCAGAGGCGGAAAATTTTGAATTTTGTCAAAAATATTTTTTAGGAGACGAAAAATTGAATTTTGCTAAAACAATTTTTTGAAGACTAAAAATTGTGAATTAAATAATAAATTTAGTTTTTTTTTAAGTCTTGAATTTATTTGTTTGGGGATATTTTTAAGAACATTTCTTTGTCGTATTAAAAATTATAAATTTTTGCCGTTAAAAAAATTGATTCCTTTATAATTTTAGATATCCACAATATAAAAAACATATCTTTATCACCCTGGGATGTTTGGCAGTCATCATACCAACGTCGATAAGTTACATCTTCAAGTTGGAGTCTTCATTTATGATAAGGCCTGAGTAAGTTGTGAAAAGGGCAAATAATTTTTCTATTTAAAATTACTAATTTATTATCCCAGGAATTTATTATCCCAGGACCTATCGTTACGGTTATGTCAAGGATTTTGAAACCTTTGGTCACACCTATACACCTTTTTATACAAATTTGGGTGGTTATCTCTTTGGCCTGTTGTGTGGTGAGATTTATCAGAAACACCTGTGCAAAGAAGAGAAACGACAAAAATTACAAGAAATATTTCAATATCTGTGGATATTGGTGCCGCTGGCAGCATGCCTAATCAATTACATGGCTTCAATATTGATATTCCACGAGCCTTCGTTGTGGACAGCCTTGTACACATACCGATTTTGAATATGGCATGTAATGGGAAATGTAAGTAGATCCATTGAATTTATATTCCAATGTTCATATTATTATTATTATTATTATTATTATTATTATTATTATTATTATTATTATTATTATTATTGTTATTATTACTATCATTATTATTATTATTATTATTATTATTATTATTATTATTATTATTATTATTATTATTATTATTTTTATTATTATTGTTATTATTGTTATTATTATTATTATCATTATTATTATTATTATTATTATTATTATTATTATTATTATTATTATTATTATTATTATTATTATTATTATTATTTTTATTATTATTATTATTATTATTATTATTATTATTTTTATTATTATTATTATTATTATTATTATTATTGTTATTATTATTACTATTATTATTATTATTATTATTATTATTATTATTATTATTATTATTATTATTATTATTATTATTATTATTATTATTATTATTATTATTATTATTATTATTATTATTATTATTGTTATTATTATTATTATTATTATTATTATTATTATTATTATTATTATTGCTATTATTCTATTTTAGCCCTAGTCAGTGAATTCTGTCGCTTGCCAATATTCCGAGTTTTTGCCCGTCTCTCTCCACAAATTTATTTGTGGCATTGTTTGATACTGCAGGCAACATCTGCCTATCATCGTCAACCTCATTACATGAACTTAATGTATTATGTAAGTTTTCGATTTCGATTTTTTTCAAAATTATTTGAGAGATACATTTAATCCTTTTCTCATTTCCTTTAGAATTGCCAAACCATCATCACAACGGTACTCTCAACGGGAGTGGCATTTTTCGGTTATTTACTGTTGGAAATTCCATTTGCCCAAGCTTTTGAGGCGCTTATGATGCTTGAAAAATCGAGTGATAAAGGTATGAAAATTTGAAAATCGAAAATTATGTTTCAAAGCACAAGTTTTAATGTATATTTTTCTTTTTTTTAGCTTAACATAAAATGGAGACCAAAATCCTGTAGATTACCATTAGTATTTTAGTTTTAAAAATCTCTGATTGACATTCCATGAACCTTCTGCTTCCTAGTTTTAAAATAGCTTTTAGTGAGACCAAAACCTGATTTGTTATAATGATTTTTTTTGTTAATAAAAAGAGTTAAAAAGGCATCAGACGGTTTCATTGGCAGATGAATACCCTCAGGCAATTTTCTATTATTTAAATATATTTTGACTTCTGTTATGATTATTCAAATTGTTGACCTTATATGAAGTAGGTTCCGATGGAATGGGCCAATATTGTCCATTTCGTGTCGGACCTGAATAAATATGGGAGGTAGCAGAAAAAATGGTCAGATCTCTACCATATTTATAATAAATCTTGTGTTGATGGAAATATTGAAATGTGCCAAGTGTGAATGGAATCGGATATAAATTTCGTGATTTATGATCTTCATGGATATTTAAAATTTTGACACTTTGTGGGGAGGTATCAAAAGGAATGGACCGATATATCTCATCTTCACACCAGACCTTGGGCTCATAAGAAATATGGTAATGTGTGTAATTTGAAGAGAACCAGATTTTATTATCGTTTTGGTTTTTCAAAACTTTGAACCTTTGCGGAGGAGGTACCAGAAAGAATGGTCCGATTTCTAACTTATTTTTAACAGACCTTGTGTTGATAGAAATATCGAGATTTGCCAAATCTGAAAGATTTTAATTTCGCGTTTTATGAGCTTCGTGGTTATTAGAAATTTTGACCCCCTGTGGGGGTGGTACCAGAAGGAGGGGACAGGTATATTCCATCTTAATGCCAGATCTTGTGTTAGCAGAAATAATGGGATGTGTGAAATATAAGGAGAATTGGATGCTTTAGCCTTATGTGAGGGAGGTACCAGGAGGAATGGTCCGATTTCTATCATCTTTTTAACGGATCTTGTGTTGATAGAAATATTGAGATTTGCCAAGTCCGAGTATCAGATGTTAATTTCGTGTTTTATGAGCTTCATGAATATTCAAAATTTTGACCCTTTGTGGGGGAGATACCAGAAGGAGTGGACCCATCTTCACAGCAGATCTTGTATTAAATAATGGGATGTGTGTAATATAAAGAGGTCCGGGTGCTTCCATCTTCACACCAGACCTTGGGTTAATAAAAACATTGTAATGTGTGTAATTTGAGGACAATAGGACTCTTAAAACTAATTTTATAAGAGTTATTTATTCAAAATTTCGACCCTTTGTGGGGTACATCCCCCATAAAATGGGTGGAATATTGTCCATTTTCGTACCTGTCCTAGTTGGACCAAATTGGATTATCTTTTCTCTTTCTATGCAGAAAATATATTTTTTGAAAATGTCAACCTTTTGTGGGGGATGTGGACCGATATCGCCCATCTCCGAAGTCGATCTAAGTTTGACAATAATATTACGATGTATCAAGTTTGAATCAAATCGGATACTCCCTTCGAGAGTTATCGTGCGTACCTGCCACCCAGACAAACGGACATCGCTAGATCGACTGCAAATTTGGTCCAACGAGACCTAGGGTCTAAAACTGTTATTTCGATAAGCCACGTTTTGGCCGTATCAAATGATATACCCTCTGTAGTCATATGGCTGAGGGTATAAAAATCGGGATTGAATATTGGGTCCAATTCAATTTTTGCCAGTGAAATCGTTTTGTAAAACGTCTTAAAAATGCTGTTAATTTCGAAGGAATCGGTTTTTCGAAGGTGCTTGTTATATATTCCGAGTTTCAAATTCCAAATTAAAAAAGATATGTTTAAAATAAAATAACAAACATTCGGAGGTACCGCCTTATAAAAAATAATGAGCCTATTCCAGCAGTCTTCTGCTACATAAGACAGAATCCACAAATTCTTCATACAGAATTTTCAACAATTCCGTTTATATTATATTATATACTAGCCGAACCCGGTTCGCTTCGCTACCCCTTTTGATTTTATATGCATTCAAAATTTTATTTACGAATATATGTTGGATAAAGAAAAACAGATTTAAAAATTAAAAAAAATATTGCACTAATTTAATGCGTTAATAAACAAAATCATTACCAAAGCAGTAACATGACATGCATACACGAAGGGTTTGTCCTTTGGATTTATTTATTTCATAGCAAATACCAAGCGTGCAGGAAACTGCAATTTTTTTAAGTAAATTGACATTTCTATTGCAATTAGTGAATTCGAGATAGCAACATACTTCGCCGTAATAAGCGTATTTCAAATAAATTGTTGTGTTGTTTTTTAGTGTTAGCCTAAGGCGTTGTGGGTCAATGGTTCTTATTAAAATCATATCCCAATCTGATCCCATTTAAATATAATTTTAAAAAAATTACTTTTACACCAAACTCCGCCACACCTTTCATATTTCATTGAAATTGGTGCGTCAAATATGTGAAATCGGCCGAGAATATATATATATGGGAGCTATATCCAAATCTTCACTAATTTCCAATTAATTTGTCACATTTATTATTATAACCAAATTCCGCCACACATTCTGAATTTCATTGGAATCGGTCATATATATCGTGTTTGGTGCATAATATATATGAAATCGGCCGAAATATATATGTAAGCTACATATATCCAAACCTCAACTGATTTCAATATAATTTGGCAATTTTTGCTGGTGCCAGATTTTGTCTCTCTCGCTTTGGGTGCATCAAATATGTGAAATCGGCTGAGTATATATTTGAGAGCTATAATCACATCTGAGCGTATTTGAATATAATTTGTCAAATTTATTTTTGTACCAAATTTAGCCACTCGTGCCGAATTTCATTGGAATCGGAAATACGTATAGTGTTTTGTGCATCAAATATGTGAAATCGGCGGAAAATATATATGGGAGCTATATCCAAATCTGAACCGATTTTAATATAATTTGACTAATTTATTTTCTAATCAAAATCCCGTTACATATTCCAAATTTCTTTGGAATCGAACATACATATCGTGTATGGTGCATAAAATACATGAAATCGGTCGAAAATATATATGAGAACTATATCCAAATCTGAACCGATTTTAATATAATTTGACAAATGTATATTTGTTTTAATTTCCGCTACACATTCCAAATTTCATTGAAATTAGAGATACATAGCGTGTTTGGTGCATCAAATACATGAAATCCGTCGAAAATATATATGGGAGCTATATCCAAATCTGAACCGATTTCAATTTAATTTGTCAAATTCATTTTGGTTCCCAATTCCGTTACTTATTTTAAATTTCATTACAATTGGAAATACATGTCGTGTTTGGTCCATCAAATACATGAAATCGGCCGAAAATGTATATGGGAGCTATATCCAAATCTGAACCGAATACAATATAATTTGGCAAACTTATTTTTGTTCCAAATTCCGTTACGTATTCCAAATTTGGAGACTGTATCTTCAACCAATCAATAGATATGTGCATATAAAATCTAAATATTTGGGAGGTACCTCCGATTCTGATGCTATATCTCCAGTTCCAAGTGAAAATTCAAAAATGTATATAGCCTATGTTACTTTCAGGCGATGTTGCAGTATATATGGAAATTTTGAGGAAAATCTATTCAGCGGTTTTCGAGTCCATAAATTACAAACAAACATACAAACATTTTCCTCTTTTATAGATATAGATGAAGGTAACGAATTTTTTTTTCCACAGAACTCTCAGTACCGAATTTTTTAAGAATCATGTTAGAAAATGTGATATATATATCATCAAAATAACGAATATCGGGAGGCAGAGTTATAAGGGGGCTATACGAAAACTTAACGAAACTAAGTTAACTTACCAAAATATAAAAGACAGGCCGACATCGCTGAATCGATATAGAAGAATATATATACTTTTTTGGGTCTACGAAAAATATTTGGAGGTGTTACAAACGGAATGACAAAGTTAATATATTTTAGTAAAAATATAAAATAGCAAAGGTTTTCAAATTGCTTGGGTAAAAAACAAATCACCGAAAGGAGAAATTTGAGAGACAAGTACTTGCAAACTCTGTGTAGAAAACCTCTCAAAAATTCTCTCTCGAATTGCTCTCTTTTGCAGATCTTTTGGATTAACAGACGACATATGGCAAAGACATAAAATTATAAAGATTGGACAAAATGCATATGGGCTTTAATTTTTCTATCAAGTAATAGATGGCAGGCGAAATAACAGAAATGCATTGGAAATTTTAGAAAAATATGTTATTCCGATATCGCCGAAAAATGGCGGAAATACGCGAGCATTTCCTTCTACATTGAATCGATAAAATCAACAACAACCCTTAAAAAGCGTCAGCTCTGTTAAATTATAACACAATGCTTTGTCACGATATCGTGACATAACATATTTTTCCACCACTAACGCCATCTATTGAAGAAAAATAACAATGTAATGTCCCATCTTATTTATTTTAAAAATGTTTCAGTAAATAGGAAGACGACCTAGGTCTTGCAAATAAGTACGAGTAGAGAAATTAATTTTGACATTTTGTTCACTGAGAGTATGTCCGTAAGCCAATGCTGAGCAAGAATGTGTTAATGCTCAAGCGACTTATTTCTCTTTGATTTTGTTAAACATCCAACCAATCAATGTCTACGTATCATTCATTTCCATTTTTTAAAAATTGAAATATGTAATAATAAATAAATCTCTTTTCTTCGAAATATTTAAGAGAAATAAGTTTTTTTTTCTCCCTGTTCATTAATGGTTTCAATCATTAACTAACACGCATAGGTCCTATTTATCTTAAAGAGAACGTTTTAATTAAGTTTTCTTAATTTTTTTCAATGAATGCTTAATTTTTTGTAATGAATTTTTAATTTTTCACGGTTAATAGAAATTAATTAAAAATAGATTAAATAACGAACAAATGCACAAACCCATACGTTAGCGCTAGTTTCTCTTAGTTCAGTTTCTCACTAAGTCATTGTTGAGATTAATTACTTAATTGCTATTAACAATTTTTAATTTTGCTTTAAATCACTTCCGTTCAAACGCGTGGCTATTTTTGCAAATGCTCAACAA